CAGGTCAGATGAGCTGATGGCCTTCCTGGGCAACGAGGCCGCCGCCTCCATTTCTGCCTTCTCCCCCCAAAACATCTCAAACACCGCCGCCGCCTTCGGCCAGCTCGGCGTCAGCCACGCGGCCTTCTTCGGCGCCGCGGCCGCAGAGGCCAAGGCGCGCGGTTTGAAGGGGTTCAACACCCAGAACCTCTCCGACCTGGCGTGGGGCTTCAGCGCGGCGGGGCACCAGGTGCGGGCCAGGAGATGCTTGAGACACCAGATTCCTGAGCGCGGGCATGGCTGTAGCGCCGCCCAGCTCACGGGGGCGACTTGCTGGAACTCTGGGAGTTCTGCTGTGTACATTCTAGATCTGAGGCGGTGGTCTGCGGACTCAGGTCGGAGGCGTCCGGGGTCGCAGGCTTGGGGAGGGGGGTGGGCTGAGCCCTGGGGGCCTGCTCGCGGCCCAGCGCGCGGCCCGGCTCCGCCCCGGCCAACCAACCCACACCTGACGGCCCCAGCCCGAATCAACCCGCAGCCGGCCCCCTCCGCCCACGCCCGCGCCGGCTCGGCCGCCTTGCCACCCACGCGGTCCCGCTGCTGCCGCTGTACCCTGCCCCTTACCGTCCCCCCCCCCCAAAAAATCCCCAAAACAGGACCACGAGCTCTTCGACCTGCTCGCCCCCGCTGCCGCCGCTGCCGCGCCCGACGCATCGCCGCACAGCCTGTCAGACCTCGCCTGGGCGTACGCCACCGCGGGGCGGCCGAGCCCGGAACTCTTCTCGGCGGTCACGCGGGCGGCGGCCGGCAAGCTGGACGTGCGGTTTTCGCTCGGCATGGTGGCGGACCTCCTCTGGTGTGTGTGCCCGCGGGGCGGCGCCTGGGGCCGCGCGGCGCGCCCGTGCTTTCCGACCCTTGGACGTGACTGGAAGCGCTCACCTTCTGCGGCTGCCCTGCATGAGGCGTGTTTTTCTGACCCACGTTTTCAGGGCTTGCGGCCGAATGGCGACTCTGTACGGCTCGCTGGCACGGGGCCGCCGGCGCCTCGAAACGCGTGCGCCTGGCCATCGCTCGCCGAGCTCGCCCTGCGCGCCTCCTCGTCTTCCGCCCGCGCAGGGCGTGCGCCGCAGTGGGCCACCGGGACGAGGCGCTGCTGCAGGCCGCCGCGCAGGTGCTACCCAGCCAGCTCAGCAAGCTCGGGCTGGACACCAACGCACAGGCCAAGGTGCGCAGTGCTGCGGCCGCCGCCGCCGCCGCCGCGCGCTGCCCGCCCGCCGGGCGTCGCGACGCCCCCTTCCGCGCCGCCGCGTCCCTGCCGTGCACAACGCTGGCGTCCAAGCCCGGGCCTGCTGATGACGTGTTGCATACCCGCGGCCCGCCGGCCTGCTCCGCAGCGGCAACCCGGCCCGACCCCCAGCCTGCCGCCCGCGTGCGCCCCGCGTGCGACCGCCACCCCTTCGGGATTCGTTGCAACCGCCCGCAGGTGCTGTGGGCGCTGAAGCAGCTCAACTTCCGCCACCCCCAGCTGGAGGAGGCCCTGAAGGCTGTCATCCCAGATCTTGATACCCTCCTGGCCGCCTGAGCGGCGCCTGCGGGATGAGCATGGGCAGGGACGGCTGGCGGCGAGGCGCGGGGGGCGCCCGCGGGCGCGCGCGGGGGCGCGCGGGGGCGTCCGTCGCCGGCGCTGCGGACGGGTGCCCAAGGTGGCGCTCGGGCGCCAGGGCCACCACGAGCCGTGCGTCGGCGCGCGTCGGCGTGCTCTGACAGTCCTTGGGATCAGCAACAGTCCCTGTAATCAGCAAGAAAATCATGCATGTCGGGGCCAAGGGCATTCCGCCTGGTGGTGTGCGACTAGACCCAGTCCAGCAGGAGCGATGAAATGACGGACCGGCTAGTCAACGTGTGTACTGTCTGGGACGCGTAGCAGGCCTGCATGCGCCTCCAGGGCCTGTGCACTTGCTCCATACATGGTGCAGGCTTTGCCTTGCCGCCACCTCGGCCGCGGCGGGGCTTGTGTGGTCGGCGGAGCTCAGCAGCGCCGGAGCGCCAAGCCTTTCGCATGTACCGTAACAGGCTGTCCGCCCGTTACTTTGTTACATTGTCATACATAAAGTTGGAGCTCACAAATATCACAAGTCACCCCTTTGAACGAAGAGCGTAGCCGTGCCACACAGCAACAGAATGGCCCTCACCACGCGGGCACAGGCCCCGTCCCTAGGCCGCTCTCGCACAGTGCAGGCTAGGGCTCTGTTTGGAAAGAAGAGCTCGGCGTCAGTTGCGGAGAAGTCTGCGAAGACGTAAGTACAGGATTTGCGCAAGGCGGTCGTCTCGGCCTGCGATGCTGAGCTGCTCGTAGGGGGTGCTGCGACGCACATTCTCATGTATACTTGTAATACAGTCCAAGTCACACGGCGTGGGCCGTGGATGCACTTGCCGGCGTGCGCGCACATGCAAACGCGCCTGACGCTTCGCGCTGTGCCGGCAATTTGCATGCAAGGCCCATTGAGCGTGTGCGTCCCTTCATGGCAGCACATCACCACACGTTTCACCATCACGTACGCCTCAGGGTTCCCAAGAAGGGCGAGCAGAAGGACAGCGTCCTGAGCGCGTTTGACTTTGCTCAGGTGGGTTGACCGGCTTGGCCGCACCGCCCGCCCCGCTGGGTCGCCGCTGCAGCACACCTGTCACCTGCACCCGGCGCCTGTAACTCCTCACCCCGCCGCGGCTGTACCCCTGCCTGCCGCCCAGACCCGCTCCAAGAAGGACGCGGACCTGCTGTGGGAGGCGAAGTATGGCGAGCGCGGCGCGGACGGCAAGATGACCCGCGAGCAGTGAGCAACACCACAACCAGCCCATAGCACCTCCCAGCCATGCGAATTCATTCGCACCAGCTACGGCGCACGGGCGCCTGGGAACGCACACATCCTCACTCTCTGGCGCGCCCGGACCAGCAGCCGGCGCGCCGGCGCGGGCGGACGACACCGCACCCGCGGCCAACACGCCCCCGAGCGCTCAGCCCCGCCGCCCCGCCCCGCCTCGCCCCTCTTGGACAGGTACCAGGCGCTTCGGCGCAAGGTGGGCGGCACAGCAAAGGACTACTGGAAGGACTGGGTCGAGGAGGAGCAGGTCAAGAACATCAAGACATACTACAAGGAGGGTGCTGACTCAGCAGGCACGGTGCCCTACCTGCCCCTCCTGGTCGGCATCGTGGTGGCCATGCTCGCCACCACCGTCGCCGTGGTGGCCAAGACGGGGTAGGCCGCCCGTGGTCTCGTGTGTCTTTTTGGGGGGAGGGTGGGGCCGTCGGTTCCGGCTTGCCGCCCGTGTCAGGTGAGAGAGCAGCACCGGCCCACGGCCTCGCTCCAGGGAGCGGGGCGCGGGGGCGCCGGGCGTGGGTTGAAACTGAAAGAGTGCCGAGCGCGCGGCGTGTGTTGTGTCGAAGAGTGTCTGGTCCTGGGTTCAAGGTGCATGGCTTGTTGCCGCGGCAGGGGCCCATGCCCACAATGTGGCCCATGCACACAATGTGGTGCGGGGGCTTCCTGGCCCCAGCTGGAGAGTAAGCTGACCCACATTTTTGGGGCCAAAAGCAATTGAGATCCTTATTGTGTACGAGTGAGGTGGAACTATGAGCAGACCCAGTAATTTGGCGCGCTCCTGCAACACCTGTGCTGTTTCGTGGACCGCGCCACCCTTTCTGGGCGCGGCGCGGCGAGTGTCGCGACGACGTGCTGGGCCCGCTGCTGCGGAAGCAGCGCCGCCATTTCAAACCTTTTCGGGCCCTCGCTTGTTTGCCCATTTTTGGCGCAAGCAGCACAAAAATGGGCATATGTGCAGCCACAATTCAACGTGAGTTACAGAAGAGGCTTTTACAAGCCACCACGAGTAAAAATCACAACAGTGGTCACAATCTCTCGGTCGGGGAGTAAACTTGATCGCCATGATGCATACCTGACTCCAAAACACCGACCGCAGCACAGGCCAGGTCCCCGCGACGTGGACCCCTGCTGCTGGGGCCGCCGAAGCTGCGCACAACATTCGAGGGAACGGGCATTGCAGGGGGCGGCGCGCTGCCGAGCTTTAACACAACCAGGGCCAGCTGCCTACAGACTGCCCCTAACGGACCCGCGCATGCGCCTGCCAACGACCCTGGCTCACCCCTGCCCTCTGCTTACCAACCCAACCTGCACGACACCCCCGCTCCCGCCCAATCAACTGCTAACACACCTCTCTGTCAGCCGACCAAACGCAAACCAGCTGCCTGCCAAACCCAACAACGCCTCGCCGGCGCCCGCCTGTGCGGCGGGGCGGCTGGCCCGGTCCGCGCTCCTCTCCCCAGTGAAGCCCCGTGCTGTCCCCCTTTCCTCATGTGTCGCGTCGGCGCTCGGCCCCTGAGGCCGGCGCTCGGCCCCTGAGGCCGGCGCTCGGCCCCTGAGGCTGGGGATCAGCCCTAGCTGGCGTCGGCGCTCAGCCCCTGGGGCCGAGCACTCAGCCCCTGAGCTCGGCCTTGCAGATGGGGCATGTCTTGTGACCCTCCAGCCAGGGCAGCACACACTCCTCGTGGTACCTGCGCGGCAATTGCCAGGCGGCAGCTGATGAGTTTTGGCCCGCCTCATTGTCAGCGACGCGGTGCAGACGGCATGCTCGCACGGGCCGACGCGATGCAGGCGGGGACCGCGAGGGGCCAGGGGGCGGATGGGAAGGCAGAGGGCGGTGGACCCATCCCTGACGCGCCGGCAACAGTGCCGAGGTATCGCGTCACGAGTTTCTTTTTCGGGGGTGGAGGGGGGCCTGGTGCAGCGTTTCCGGGCAGGCGGAGGGCACCGAATACGAGGGCGCGCGCGTGGCCTCACTTGTGGAGGCATGGGAGGTGGAGCAGCCTGTCGCCTTCTTGGTACCTGCGGAAGTCGGGGAGGCAGGGGGTGGGGAGGGAAGGAGGGAAGTGGGTGCGGGCAAAATTAAGCAGTCAGCAGCGGAAGTCAGGGGGCCGAGGGGGGCGGCTGCAGGCAGCGGTGGGCGGCTGCACGCGGGGCGCGAAGCAGAGTAAGCCGGGGCGGTAGGCGAGCAGGGCTTGCATGCGGCTGCTGTGGCCCGCTCACTCGCACTGACGGGGGCGGGAAGCAGGGCGCGAGAGCAGCGAGCAGAGAAGGGGGGAAGGGGGCGTGGCGGCGCGGCCGGTGCTTTAGAAAGGGTGGGGAAACCTTGAGGGCGAGAGGGTGCGTATACAAGCTGCGCCCAACAAGCAACAGAGCCAAGCTAACTGTGCCGTACATACGATTTTTTATTGCCCAGCTCATGCTCAGGGCCCCACCAAGGCAGGAGCCCAGCCGCCCTGCCGCCACTGCGTGCGGCAACCCCCCAAGGCCCCCTCGCCGCCGCCGCACCTGGCACACCGCGCACGCGTCGTCCGCCTCGGCCCCCGGCGATATGAACGTGCTCCGCGGCAGCGCCGACACGACCGCGGGGTCGGCAGGCGTCGCCACGTTCTGCAGGTGCGACGCCAAGTGTTCGTAATCCATGGGGATGCCCCCGAAATCGCCGCCAAAAAGCGACGAAAAGAGCCCCTGCAGGCCGCCGGCGCTGCCGGGTCCACCGGGCCCGCCGTCCGCGCCGCCCAAGCCGCCGCCGCCCGTGCGCAACGCGTGCAGCGCGCCGGGCGCGCCGGCCAGCAGAAAGTGGAACAGCATGGGCATGGGGTCGCCCTCGGCGGCGGCGGCGCCGCCCGGCGCGCCGCCGAACGGGCCACCGGGGGCGAAGGGCCCGTCGGCCGCGCCGAACGCCTGCTGCTGGTGCTGGTGCTGCTGGCGCTGGTGCGCGCCGCCGGCAGAAGTTGTAGAGGTGGAGGAGCTGTGCATTGATTGGAAGCTGCTGCTGCTGCCGCCGCCCGTGTGGACACTGAAAGAGAAGGCGGTGCTGCCATCAGGCGACCTGTAGCTCCAGCTGCGACCACCCTGCGTCCCGTCAGCGGCCGCAGCGCCCTGCGCCTGCG